AAATGGACCTAAGAGACATCTACAGAACTCTCCACCCCAAATAACAGTGTACATTCTTTTCATCTGCACATGACATATACTTAAACCAAAATTATACAGACCCCGCTTTGGACCATGATATGGTTTGGCTCTGTGTTCCCACTGAAATCTCACCTTAAGATGTAACAATCCCCACATCTCAAGGGTGGGACTGGGTGGAGGTAACTGAATTGTGGGGGCAGTTTTCCCCATGTTGCTCTTGTGATACTGAGTGAATTCTTATGAAATCTAATGGTTTTATAAGGGGTTTCCTCATTCCTCATTTGTTCAGCACTCATTCTCTATCCTGCCTCCCTGTGAAAAGGTGTCTTCCACCAAGATTATAAGTTTCCTGAAGTCTCCCCGGCCATGTGGTACTGTGAGTCAACTAAACCTCTTTTGTTTATCAATTACCCAGTCTTGGATATTTCTTTTTTTCTTTTATTTATTTATTTATTTGAGACGGAGTCTTGCTCTGTCAACCAGGCTGGAGTACAGTGGCATGCTCTCAGCTTACTGTAGCCTCCGCCTCCCGGGTTTAAAAAATTCTCCTGCCTCAGCCTCCCAAGTACCTGAAATTATAGGCATGCAATACTATGCCTGGCTAATTTTTATATTTTTAGTAGAAATGGGGTGTTGCCATGTTGGCCAGGCTGGTCTTGAACTTCTGACCTCAGGTGATCCACCTGCCTTGGCTCCCAAAGTTCTGGGATTACAGGTGTGAGCCACTGTGCCTGACCTAGTCTTGGGTATGTCTTCATAGCAGCATGAGAACAGGCTAATACAGTAAAATTTGTACTAGGAATTGGGTGCTGCTATAAAGACAACCAAAAATATGGAAGCAACTTTGGAACTGGGTAACAGGCAGAGGTTGGAAGAGTTTGGAGAGCTCAGAGGAAAACAGAAAGAGGGGGGCATGTTTGTAACTCCCTAGAGACTTGCAATGGCTTTGACCAAAATGTTGACAGTCATATGGACAATAAAGTTCAGGCTGAAGTAGTCTTAGCTGGAGATGAGGAACTTGTTGGGAACTTGTTGGGAAGGTGACTCTTCATATGCTCTAGCAAAGATATTGGAGGCATTTTGTCCCTGCCTTAGAGATCTTTGAAACTTTGAACTTGAGAGAGATGATTTAGGGTATCTGATGGAAGAAATTTCTAAGCAGAAGCATTCAACATGTGACTTGGGTGCTCTTAAAAGCATTCAGTTTTATGTATTTAAAAAAATATGGTTTGGAATTGGAATTTATGTTTAAAACGGAAGCAGAGCATAAAAGTTCAGAAAATTTGCAGCCAAAGTGATAGAAATAAAAACCCCATTTTCTAAGGAGAAATTCAAGTCTGCTGAAGCAGTCTGCATAAGAAGAGCCAAATGTTAATTGCCAAGACAATGGGAAAAATGTCTCCAGGGCCTGCCAGAGGTCTTCACTGCAGTCCCTTCCATCACAGATGCAGAGGCCTAGGAGGTAAAATGATTTCATTTACTGGTTCCAGGACCTTGCTGCTTTGTGCAGTCTTGGGACATGATACCCTATGTGTCAGCTGCTTCAGCTCCAGCTGTGGATGAAAGAAGCAAAGGTAGAGCTTGGCCCATTGCTACACAAGGTGCATGCCCCAAGCTTTGTCAGGTTTCATGTGGTGTTGGGCCTGCAGGTGTACAGAAGTCAAGAATTGAGGTTGGGGAGCCTCCACATAGATTTCAGAGGATGTATTGAAACACCTGGATGTCCATACCTGAAATCTATCAATGAAAATTTCCTAAAAATTTACTTTTAGACATCTGCGGCTACATTGCCTCTATTAAGAAAGACTGAGCCAGATGTGAAAAAAGTAGATAATACACAATTAATCAAATATATTCTCCATTGTCCCCTGTTTCCTGATTATATGCAAAGTTGTCCATAATCTTTAAAGCTATTTGGAGGGTGCAGTCTTAAACTTAACTTTGGTTCATCCCTTCAATTACTTGCAAGGAAAGCCTACTGAAAATATGTCTTTGATGTAACTTTCACTTTTACCAAAATATTATTATTTGTACTTAAGAACAATAACTTTTTATAAAAAATGTCACATGGAAGCAATAGTGTGGACACCCAACTCATGGATTGGGGGAAGAGATTTATAAGCCATATATCTTATGAGGGGTTAATATGCAAAATACATAAGAAACTCAAAAAACTCAATAGCCCTGTAATCCAAGCACTTTGGGAGGCTGAGACGAGCAGATTGCCTGAAATCAGGAGGTCAAGAGCAGCCTGGCCTTCATGGCAAAACCCCGTCTCTATTAAAAATGCAAAAAATTAGCCTGGCATAGTGGTACATGCTTATAGTCCCAGTTTTCGGGGGCTGAGGCATGAGAATTGCTTGAGCCCTGGGAGACAGAGGTTGCAGTAAACCAAGATCACATCACTGCACTCCAGCCTGGGAGACAGAGCAAGACTGCCTCTGAAAAAAAAAAAAAAGAGAAAAAATATAGAGAGGAGAACTGAATAGACGTTTCTCAAAATAAGACATACAAATGGCCAAAAGACATGTTTAAAAAAATGCTCAACTCACTAATCATTAGAGAAATGCAAATTAAAACCACAATGAAATATCACTTCACATCTGTCAGGATGGCTATTAGCAAAAAGACGAAAGGATAAGTGTTGGTGGGGATGTGGTGAAAAGAGAATCTTTGTACATTGTTGGCAGAAATGTAAATTAGCACAGCTGTTATGGAAAACTGTATGGAGTTTCTTAAAAAATAGAATTACCATATGATGTAGTAATCTCACATCTAGGTAGTACTCAAAGATTTGAAATGAGATTGTCAAATAGCCTTCAATACTCCCCCTGTTCATTGAACCACCATTCACAATAGCCAGTTCATGGAATCAACCTGAGTGTTCATCAACAGGTGAATGGATAAATAAAATTATGTATGTATGTATGTATGTATGTATGTATCTATATGCACACACATTCATATACATACATGTGCATACAAAATAGCATGCCACCTAGCCTTTAGAAGGAAGGAATTTCTGTCATTTGCAACAACATGGACTGGAGAACATTATGGTAAGTGGAATAATTCATGCACAGAAAGACAAGGGTCACATGTTCTCACTTGTATGTGAAATCTAAAACAACTGAACTCATAGAAGCCAAGAGTAGAATAGTGGTTTCAGAGGCTAGGAGTGTGTGGGGAATGAAAAGATGATGGTCAAAGGGTACACAATTTCGGTGAAACAGAATTTTTTTAAAAGTTTATCACAAAATATGGTGAATGTAGTTAACTACGGTGTATTGTACATTTCCAAATTGCTAAGAGAGTAAATTTCCAATGTTCTCAACCAAAAATAATTATTTGAGATTATGGATATGATAATTAGCTTGATTTAATTATTCCACATTGTATTTTATAATCTATAAATGTATACAATTATAAATTGTCAATGTACAAAATTTTAAAAAAATTCATGTGACTACCCAAGAATAATTTTCAAAATCAAGGAAAATATTGGAGACTGCAAACTTCATTGTGAGCTGAGGTTGCATGACTGTACTCCAGCGTGGCACCTGGTGACAGAGCAAGACTCTATCTCAAATAAAAAACTATATATATGCACACATATGCATATACAGAGATACACATATGATGCATAATTTCACATTTTGGGATGGTGCTAGAGAGGCAGCTGTATTTATAGTGCAGAGGTCTAAAGGAAGCTGATGGTTAACTACTTCCTATGGGTAGGCTCAAGAAACAGACAAGATATTTATACTGTTCAAAGACTTTACACAGAACATTACTATCTCATTATGAGAATTGGGCTAGCACAGACAAATACTGCTTTTCCACATTTGTAATAAAATTAATTTTTTGCTTAATATAATTTTTATCTTTAAAATCCAATATCATCCCTAGCTAATTGATGACTTAAATGATTCTCTCAATAATGACAAACATTTCAAATACATGAGTGCCACATTACATGTTGAGTGTTTTATAAAAGTTCAGGAAAGCTTTATGTCATAAAAGAGAACTCAGACATTACTATCTATTTTTCATTTTGGACTGTTATTCTATTGTCTTGGTAATGAAAGGGGATTTTTAAAATAAATTACCCATTCACATGAAAATCTAATTTGAATGAAATTTCCCTGTCTTTTGCTCATTAATTGACTGTATACTTTAACCAAAATAATTTTGTTTTTGAAAGTAAGTATAAAAAACACAAATATTGTATTTTAAATAGTCTATTTGTTTTATGTTTATGGAAGTACATGGCCAAGTATCCTTAGTATTTCCTGGGGTAGCATTACTATAGACTGCCCCAGACATGTGTTTTTATTGCATACTACTTAAATTCATACTACAGCAATGAATAACAACTATTCTGCATAATCATTTTAGAAAACAGTACCATGATTTCTAGCTTTTTGTGAGTAATACAAAAAATCTGAAAAAATGGTTGAAGTTTTTAACATTTAAAAAATAAACTATCCATTAACCTGAGAGTCATCCTGTGTTAATAAAACCTGCAAAGCAGTTATCAAATTTATTAACATGTAATCTGTATCAATTTCATAGCTATAGTTCCTCCATGGGTACTGGGCCTAAAGATAGGCCTTGAACTCTTAGTTCAAGTTTAGGTTCCAATCTTATATGCAAAGGCTTGAGTTTAAGTTTCGAGGAAGTGAAACATAGTATAAGTAGTTGGTGACTGAAATGCATTTGGGTTTGGTGAGAACAGAATCAACAATTTTGTCAAGAGTTTTGTGTTCACATTGGCAGCACACACAGAAAACTTGAATGAGGGATAACGTTAGGAGAAATACCTAACGTAGGTGAAGGGGGATAGATGCAGCAAACCATCATGGTATGTGTATACCTATGAAACAAACCTGCACGATGTGCACATGTACTGCAGGACCTAAAGTATAATGAAAAAAAAAAACACAGAAAAAAATAAAAAGTAACTGGCAAATGAGAAATCTTAAAAGAAAAAAAGAAAGAAAGAAAGCTGGAATGATAGAGTGAAGATGAGCATGGCCCATGCACAAGGAGAACACACAAATTCATGAAGCATTCCATAAACTAAAACAAACAAACAAAGAATTTTGCCAAGATTTCTAGCACAGCGATTGAGAAAATGATGGTAACATTGACACGGATTAGATTTGGGGACATGAAGGTATTTTGTTTCACTTTGTTTTTAAGGGTGTGGCAACCTGACAGACCACAGGGACGCAGTTTTTTGTTTTTTGTTTTTGTTTGTTCCATTAACACACTGTGAATTGGGGACTAAAAATAAGAAAGCAGAGACAAACATGCTAAATGAATGAACATAGTAGGTGTTTAAGTAGACATTAGGTGGATGAATAAAAAAGAAGGTAACAAGAGGAAGATCCACTATATTAATAAAAGTGGTATTATCCTGGCATATTCTTTTCAAATTATTGATTTTATCTTCCACTTAAAATCAGGACATACTGAGAAAATCAGAACAGAAATTCCAAGACTCTTCTTGGGAATAGAGTTCCCAAAACTTTATTTTAGTATCATGCTTTTCAATTTATATGACTTGGATTATTTATATACAACACTGAAGGACAATTTGTATGCAAATATTGTTGGCACAAGCCCATGATTAAATTGCAAAAGCTTGGAATGATATGGAACTTATCACTGATTACTTTCACAAGTGGCTCTCAGAAACAGAATCTTAATAAATCACTACCATTCTTCTATATTTTTTATACATCTGAACAACTATCACCTTATCAGCATGCTAAGAGTTAGATTACAGCAATCATGTTCTTCACGAGCATGATACAAATCACCAAGAAGCTGCCACAAGTCTATCTCTTACTCTTGTTATCATGTTTAAAATTACCTTCCCTTTGCTGGTTTTATGTGGTTCATATCTCTGCTCAAATATCACTCCTACCTTGTCTCCCAGAACTCCATTCTCATACTCTACTTGTATACATGGCACTTACCACAATCTAAAATTATATTATATGTTGACTTGTTTATTGTCATCATGCCCTGCAATGCAAATTTTGTAAAAGAGTTGAGCCTGACACTTAGTAGTTATTCAATAGGTATTTGCTCAATGACAAATGAAATGAATGAGATACAAAGCAGTTTTGGAGAGGCTATAAATCCACATGCAGACCAGTAACAACATAACACAGTAGTAATATCACATTATGTCTCAAGATACTTAATTTTTCTATATTAAATGCTTAAAAAGCTTCATGACATTTATATTGAGAGCTCAATTGATCTGGACAACTATAAAGGGCAATTCACAAATATTCTAAGTTATGCCAACTCTATAGTTCAGCTACAATGGCTAATTGTTGATATTTTGAAATAATTTTATGTATTGATTAAAGATGCCTTTATAAACAAAAATGTTTACTGAATTTGGCTTCCTGATGTGAAATGTGTGTTTCATTTTTTTTTAATAATCAAAAATTATCCATAATTAAAGCACATTTGTTTTGTAAAAAGAAGTTCAAGTATATGATGATTTATGACTTATTGAGTTTTATTTCCTGCCTTAAATGTTCTATAATAATTTAGATTTAGCATCCAAATGGTCATCTTATACAATAATTAAATAGAAAATAAGCATTAAGAAAATATAAATAATCCTTACTATTTTCAGTATGTTCACACCAGGTATGAAACTATAGAAAACATAATCTATTATAAAAATATCACCATATTACAAGCTTGTACCATAAAATGATGGCACCAACTTTAATATATAATTTTAGCCCTCAGTTGAGCTATATTTCATTGTGTTAGGTAAAAATGAAAGCTTTTAACCTAGTAAATCATTGTGAGGAAAAATGGATGGCTAATGCAATTAATTTTAGTATGTAAGTTTTATTCTTCAAAACAGTATTTGCTAAACAAATATTCTCTGTCATTCTTTTGGTTCCAATCAATATAAAACTGCCGGGGCCAGGTGCTGTGGCTCATGCCTGTAATCCTAGCATTTTGGGAGGCCAAGGCAGGTAGATTATTTGAGGTCAGGAGTTTGAGACCTGCCTAGCCAACATGGTGAAATCCTGTCTTTATTAAAAATACAAAAAATTAGCCAGGCGTGGTGGCATGCATCTGTAATCCCAGCTACACAGGAGGCTGAGGCAGGAGAATCACTTGAACCCAGGAGGCAGAAGTTGCAGTGAGCCGCTATTACACTCCAGCCTGGTAAGCAGAGCAAGATTCTGTCTCAGGAAAAAAAAAGACTGCAGGGCACATTACCCATTCTGAAAGTGGAACATCAAGTCTAGGTTTAGATTTATTCTTTAATCATCAACTTACTATCAAATGCTAATTTTTAAAAATATGTATAAGTAGAAGCAGTCCATCTGCAGCTCTCAGAGAATCTATTATTAAAATTAAGGCTGCAGCAAAGGACATTAGTCAAAGGAAAGAATTTCTAAACAAAATATTAACACTCGAAGTAGTAAACATATGGGTAAGAATGCAGGAATTTCATCAATTTTTATTAGATGTATCCAGCCAAATAAGTAACTTTAAAACTTATCTAAAATCTGAAATCATGCTAACATTTCCATAGGTCTTTTAAAGATCTTTTGAGAAGAACAGGCTACAGTTTGATGGTGCTATTCATTTACTGTGACAAATGATTTTCCAGTGATGAGGAATGGCTGCAATAGAAGACATAAATTCATTGATAAGTACATAAGTTGTCAAAAAATGGCTTCATCAAAAATACTAAAAGCCAGGAGATATTTGAACCACAGTCCAGGTTTAGAAGACCTAGTTGAGGATGCTCTTGGATCTGTTCTATCTATGGAACTCATCTTTTGCTTCTTCCCAGGTCTCCTTTGTTTCTATACTAGTGAAACAAAATCCTAGACGTAGAACTTTTCCATGTATTATCTATATTAGAAATTTCAGAAGATGATGAACTATAGGTAAATATGCTTCAGAATGAAACTTAACTTGATCCAAGCAAAGTATATAGCTATATGTTTCTTAAAGTTTTTATACCATTTGATCACCTATGTAAAGAAAGTCTTTCTTTAAACACAACTCAAATAACCATTTTGGTTTTGACTTCTTTTTGCTTTGATAATGTGTATTATAATTTTCATTAAAAATATTTCAGAATAAACATTTCATATATTTTCTATATCTGTGTCTGTGTAAGATGTGTAAGTAAACTTTAATCTATACTTACAGACCATTAGATAGGAGTGGAATACCTTAACCAAGATTCAACACTCCAGAGGAGATTACTTTGGAACTTCAAATGTTTGCACATCTGCACTGGATGGTTATTAATTCACATTAGGAATCTTGGAAATAAGTCTCTATTGACAAAAGTAAGAGTGTACAGGATATATAGTTGGTTAGAAAAATTGTAATGGATTCACTGTTATTACGTGAACAAGCATAATAATTTGGCCCAATAGCTTACTATAATAAGGGCAGGGCTTTTGGTCTTCTCCATCAGTAGTAAATAAAGTTCAGTCCAGTGGTAATAAGTGAAATGGTTGACACTGTAAAGAAATTGACGGTAAAAACCATCTGTAGCAATTTATCAGAGTAATTGTCTATCTTTGAGTTCTAAATCTACTAACAAACACACCAACAAAAACTACTAGGGACTTGTATTTTGTATTTTAAAAAATGTTCTAGTAATTCACTATTACTTTTTAGCATTTTTAAAAAGTATTGGTTTTCAAAAGATGAAGGGAAAAAAATGACATATTGAGACACGCTATCCTAGTTCTTTACTAGCTTTATATTTTTGCATCTACCCTAAATAGAAATTGTTGGGTTGGCTATCATAATGCCACTGAGTTCTCCAAAAGAGTAATCTTTTAATGCATGGAGCTGTCACATTTCCTGAAGGCTGAGGATATTATATGAATGTTTGTTTCTTACCATTCCCTTTCTTGTTGCTTTTGCTTTCCTTCTTTTGTTTTTCTGCTTCATAAAAATATTGTTACGTTTGAAAAAATTTAACCTTTCAAATGTAATGTAGTAATCTTTAAAATTAAATTACATTTCAATGTAATAAATACCTGGTATACAGGTTACGGGTGAGTGGATATACAGCCTGCACCCTCCTCTATACAAACTCCAATATTTGCCAAAATAACTTTCCAGTTGCCAAAATACCAAATAGGCTTAGTTTTGCCATTTCTTTCCCCAGTTCAATCAGCCCTTTTGCCACTGCTCCTATTTTGAAACCTATGTAATTTGTATTTCCTGTTGTTTTTTTCAAAGGGTCAGAAGTATAGACTCATTACTAGGAAGGTGAATACATAATCTTTGTGAAAGAGCAGAAGCATATACGAAGTTATAAAGATACTCAAAGAACTTTCTCTAGGGGATTATAACTAAATCTTCACTCCCAGCTGCCTCACTTGTCAATTAGCCAGAGTGTGACCAGAATGGCAGCAGGCAAATGTGAACAATCCGATACTGACCATACGCACATAAGACAAAACCACTCACCCTTGTCCTTGGTCAGAATGGAAATCTGCTTCTGCAGTACTCTCAAATACAAAGGATCATAATATGGCAATAACAACTGGCAGCTTTCCCAGATTTAACAACTCTCTAATTTTGTATTAACTTCAAGAAAGATGAATTTCTTAATAAGAAATTAGGGCTTTCAGTTGCTGTCTAGAGCAGATTGGCAATTTGACTGATACCCTAAATGTAAACCTTAATGATTACCACTTAGATATTTAAAATTCTGCAACTGCTCCTACTGGGTTTATTATAAGAGAAATAATCACCTCTACAGATGGTTTTTGACACATAATAAACTGAAAAGCATGAAATCCTTTCTATACAGTATTTGTTTTGAAATATCTACTCTCTAAACATGTGACTATTTTCAAATCAGTGTATTTCCACAAAACAGTGTGTGCGTGTGTTAAGGGGGCTGCTGCTCCGGAAATTAAGGGATTGAATTATTGTTGTATTGTTGCTTTATGAGCATCAATATGAGATGTCTGAAATGAAAAGCAGTGTAAATCTATTGACACTCAAAAGTGACTCATACTATGTGATTGCGGAGCTGGGTTTATCTG